TCACCTCAGCCTCCCAAAGGCGTGGGATTACAGGCTGAGCCACCGAGCCCGGCTGTGAATTAGTTTTAAAATGAGTACATACATGAAATAGAAAACCACATGTATGTTGATACCTTATCAGTAGTTACACATTACTTCTGACTCATAATTTATCAAGATGTCACTGTGCCAAGACACCATAGTTGACATCTATCTTCCTTCAGAATTAATACTTAAACTTCTTTTCAGGGTCTATAAGGCCCTTCATAAACTGGCTTCTGTTTGTGATAATGTCCTGCTCCACCTCCTGCCACATAATGACTTCATTCCCCAGCACTACCCAACTATTAGTAACACTCTCGAGTATTTTTTCTCCTACTTTCACACATGCTCTTGATCGTGTCTTTAAAAATGCCTGTGTTTCTTAAGTCTGATGGTATTACCTCCACTGTGAAGCTTTTTCTGATTCCTCATACACTATTCCTTCCCCTTGGCTTCTACAGTACGCCATACACACTTCAACTATAATACCTGTCACACTGTCCTTTTTATGTTTCTGCCTCCCTGCTACATGCCAGGCTCCTTGTGGACAAGGAGGGACTGCAGAGACGCTCAAGTACATTCTTTTACTTCCAAGCCCCACTTTTAGTCCTCCTCTCAACTTGCTGTATGTCATGTCCCATGCCACTGACCGGTTGGCACTATCATCCAGTGTACGTTCAAACCACTGTACAGATGCCGTCTGCAGCGGGTCCATGATTAGGGTCATCAGGTGACGGGCAAGGCTGCAGCAACGTTCCGAGCGCATGGGGTTCCGCTTGTATGGCATTGCACTCGAGCCTGTCCATGTAAAAGTACAAGTTGCAAAGGCAGAAAGATTTCACGGGACAGTGAGTGCACAAGTATGCTGCTAAGTGAGCTGTTACCATATGCCTAGTCTTTAGCAGTTCTGTGTGCTCACAGAACTCACCGATCTGCTGTTTTTCAAAGGGTTCCTCCATCTCCTTGAGGTGTGCCAGGAGGCGTATGTCAGTGCACATCTGGGGGAAACAGGGAAACAAGCATCAGCATACACTCTCAGTGTGCAGCAGAGCCTGGGAACACTGATGAGGCTGATGAAAAAGATGAACTCTAAGTGTGCTATCACTGAGCTGAAGACTACCAGATCCTCCCCAAGAGCCCATGGAGAGTATCTTTTTTGTTTTTTTTTGAGTCAGAGTCTCACTCTCTCACCCAGGCTGGAGAGCAGTAGCATGCTCACGGCTACTGCAACCTCAACCTGCTGGGATCAGGAGATCCTTCTGGATCAGCCTTCCAAGTAGCTGGAACTGCAAGTACACACTACTATGCCTGGCTTATTTTTTGGTTTATTGTAGAGACAAGGTCTCACCAGCTGCCCAGGCTGGTCCTGAACCCCTGAGCTCAGGCAATCTTCCCACCTTGGCCTCCCAAAGTGCTGGGATTACAGGCTTGAGCCACTGCGCCCGGCCCTGGAGAGTACCTTACTCAGACTTTTCTCCACTCCCAAAGAGCTGGGATGATGTATCCAAGAAGCATGAAAATAGTTTTGTGAAATACTGCTTAAGACAACATCAAGATTAATTTTAATATACCACTGAACAAGCTGAGCACTTTGCAACCCTTGAAGAGAATGCTAAAACTGGTCTTTCGCTTAATTTAAGGGCTTCATATTCAGGCTCCAAATTGTTAAAACTAATATATGAAATCTCCTGAGAGTTGATTAAATAGAAGTCTGAGGCTGATTCAGTCTGTCTGTGGCATCCAAAGCCCCATTGTCTGCCCCACAAATTAGCACCACTTACCTTGTGCACTGATGCTCCCAAGCTAGCCAGCACAGACAGCACCTCAATATCCACTTTTCGTGTATAGGTCTGCCCTGTGATGATAAAAGCTCTAGATATAAATTAGAAAAGAGGCTAATGTTAAAATACTTCAAAGCTGGCATGGTAGCCCATGCCTGTAGTCCAAGTTACTTGGGAGGCTGAGGCAAAAGAATCACGAGAGCCCAAGAGTTTAGACAAGCCTAGATAACATAGGGAAATCTCATCTTAAATTAAATAAATGAGTAAGTAAAAATGTAGCTCTGTCAAACAAACAAGGAAAAACAGATCCTAAGTAAAAGACTGGTCTTATTGACCAATCTGGGCCCAGAGAACCTGCCTGGTGACTTGCTCCTGGAGCAAACTATCCTCCTAACCTTTGACTACTACTTAAGACACTGTCCTGACTTGAGAAGAAAACATGATCCATTATGCCCATGTCCTGCCACAGCTTAATGGAAATGCCTAGCAGAAGGAACCAATGGTGAAGACTGGTGGGCTTCAATGCAAAATGGTTAGATTTAGCCTAATTCACTGGAGGTGCTAAGTAAAGAAAACAAAATAGCAACAAAATGAATAAGGTATTCTAAAGAAATCAGAAGTAAATAATTGCCCTTTTTTCTTATGAATTATAGGAAAATAAATTTCAGATTGTAAGAAAATAAAACTCAGGCCAGAGACAGAAGAGAATGGATAGAAAAACAAAGGAAGAAAAAACCAAAAAGTTAAGGTCAAATTTAGAGGTTTACTGAACACAGGCCTTTCATCAACTTAACAAGGAGGCCCATACTTTCCCCATTTACCTACCTCTTAAATCCTGCCTTTTCTGTCACCATCTTGTCAAGCTGCTCTACCTTGGAAAGAAAAAATACATCTCTATAAATACATCTGCAGCTGTCCAGTATGAAAATACCTCAACTTGTCATCCTCACAGGTCTTGGCCTTCCAAACTCCTAGTCCAAGGACCCTACCCATCTCAGGATCAATCTGTCCTATTGACCTTGGGTCGTGGTCTCTACCCTTTAGTTTCGGTGTCCCCCAGGTCACTTTGGAATACCTTTTGGTCATCTCCCTCAAAGAGCTGCAGAAAGCTAGCCTGAGTGCCAGTGGTGCCCTTTACTCCCCGGAAGCGAAGGTCATCTCGTACACGCTTCAAGTTCTGCAGGTCCATGCAAAGATCTTGAATCCAAAGACAGCAACGTTTCCCCACTGTGGTCAGCTGAGCAGGCCTGAAAACAACCCAAAGAGAACACACAAGTCTCAGACCAAGGCCTTATATCATAAAAGCTTAACATCCACTTCTTTTTTTTTTTAAACATCAGGGTCTCAGGCTGGAGTGAAGTGGCATGATCACACCGCAGCCTCAAACTTGTGGGCCCAAGCAATTCTACTCTCTCAGCCTCCTGAGTAGCTGAGACTACAGGTGTGTGACACCGTATCTAGCTAAGCTTTAAAAAATTTTTTGTGGCCAAGCTCGGTGGCTCAGCCTGTAATCCTGTGCTTTGGGAGGCCAAGGTGAGTGGATTGCCTGAGCCTGTGGGTTCGAGACCCGCCCAAGCAACTTGGAGAGACCTCATCTCTAAAATAAATCAAAAAGTTAGCCGGGTGTGGCAGTGCATGCCTGTAATTCTGGCTACTCGGAAGGCTGAGCAGAAGGATCACTGGAGCCCAGCAGGTCGAGGCTGCAGTGGCCGGGAGTGTGCCACTGCACTCCAGTCTGGGTGACAGAGGAGTGAGACTTCAAAACACACACACACACATTTTTTTGTAGAGATGAGGTCTCACTATGTTGCCCAGGCTGGTCTCAAACTCCTGGGGCTCAAGCAATGTACCTCAAAAAGCCTCCCGAAGTGCTAGGATTAAGGCATGAGCTACTACACCCAGCCCAGTTCTTCTTTTAATAACCACCATTATTCTTTGGAAGGGGAACAGTTAAAGAGAGTTGGAAAACCAGTTAATAAAAAAGATTTAAAAGTTTAGGCAAATGATAGTTAAGGAAATTCAGTATCATTGATAAATATTCAGAGTGTAAAACCATACACTCTTTCATAGTTCTTTCTTCATCAAAAGGTAATTTAATAAAGGACAGGGACAGCATCCATTTTGTTCATGACTACATCCAAAGACACATAATATAGGAAATATATTAAGCTGGGTATGGTGGCTCACACCTGTAATCTCTTTTTTTTTTTTTTTGAGTTGGAGTCTCACTCTGTCACCCAGACTAGAGTGCAGTGGCCACTCCCGGTCACCGCAGCCTCGACCTGCTGGGCTCCGGCAATCCTTCCGTCTCAGCCTTCCGAGTAGCTGGAACTACAGGCGCGCACTGCCACACCCGGCTCATTTTGACGTTAATGAGTATGAAGTTTCTTTTTGTGGATAACAGACAATTTCTGAAATTACATAGTAGTGATCATATCATTCCATAAATACACTAAAACCACTGAAGTGTATACTTCAAAAGGGTAAATCTTATGGTATGCGAATTATAACTCAGTAAAGTTTTTTTAAAATTACATGGACATACTGAAGGGATGCCTATGAATCAACACCATTTTCTGAGTTCCTCACTGTGGTAGCCAATACCTTTCATTATACTATCCCCAGAGGAACACTAGAATCCTTCTGCATTCCCTGATCATTCTTCCACAGAGGCAAAGAGCTGCAATACAGACAATGCTGAGTGTGAAAGGAAGACAGGTGAGTGTGAAAGGAAACCAACAGAGATGGTTATAATTGTCACAGACAAGTCACACACACTGAGCAATGACTCTTTCACATTAACAAATTCTTAGGGTTTCTGATACCAGTAAATGTAGGCCCTAACGTTAAAAAAGATTCCTTTTTTTTTTGAGTTGGAGTCTTGCTCTGTCGCCCAGACTGGAGTGCAGGGACTGCTCCCGGTCACCGCAGCCTTGACCTGCTGGGCTCCGGCGATCCTTCCGCCTCAGTCTTTCGAGTAGCTGGAACTACAGGCACGTGCTACCATGCCCGGTTGATTTTTTGATTTATTGTAGAGATGAAGTCTCGCCAAGTTGCCCAGACGAGTCTCAAACCCGCTGGCTCAGGCAATCCACTCACCTCAGCCTCCCAAAGTGCTGGGATTACAGGCTGAGTCACCGAGCCCGGCTTCTTTTTTTTTTTTTGAGTTGGAGTCTTACTTTGTCGCCCAGATTGGAGTGTAGTGGCTGCTCCTGGCCACCGCAGCCCCGACCTGCTGGGCTCAGGCAATCCTTCCGCCTCACCCTTCCAAGTAGCTGGAACTACAGGTGTGCGCTACCACACTCGGCTAATTTTTTTGATTTATTGGAGAGATGAGGTCTCACCAAGTTGCCCAGGCGGGTCTTTGAACCCGCGGGCTCAGGCAATCCACTCACCTCAGCCTCCCCAAGCAAGGGATTACAGGCTGAGCCACCGAGTCTGGCTTAAAAAAGATTCTTAACATTCTTTTATAAGTTATGAGATGATATCTTTGTCGTCATAGGAACACATAATCAAAACATAAGACAAATGCTAATACATAGCTGCACAAATAACATCACTCAATACCTGTCACTAGCATTCCAAAAATGACATGAGGCCTTTTTTTTTTTTTTGAATTGGAGTCTCACTCTGTTGCCCAGGCTGAAGTGCAGTGGCATGCTCATGGCCACCACAGCCTCAACCTGCTGGGTTCAGGTGATCCCCGCCTCAGCTTTCCAAGTAGTTGTGACTACAGGCATGCACCACCATGCTCGGCTAATTTTTGACTTATTGTAGAGATGAGGTCTCACCAAGTTGCCCAGGCTGGTCTTGAATCTGTGGGCTCCAGCAATTCTCCCACCTTGGCCTCCCAAAGTGTTGGGATTATAGGCCTGAGCCACCATGCCCGGCCCATCAGAGGGCTTTTAAAATACTTACAAAAAAATTTTAAAAGTCAAAAATATAAAAGGTAGAAATTTATTGTTTTGTCTGAGCCTCATTCTGTCACCCAAGTTGGGATACAGTGGTGCCACTGACCACCACAGCCCCAGCCTGCTGAGTTCAGGTAATCCTTCCACCTCACTACAGGTGGGCGCCACCACACCCAGCTATTTTTATTTATTGTAAAGACATGCTCTCATCAAATTGCTCAGGTTGGTCTCGAACCCCTGAGAGTTCAGGCAATCCTCTCACCTCTGCCTCCCAAAGTGTTGGGATTATAGGCAGGAGCCACCACACCCAGCTGGTAGAAAGAAATTTAATTATCCCACTTTTTCATAAGCCAGAGTAATCAATGTTTACATCTTGGAGTAATTGCATCCAATCTTTGCAATTTATATGGACATTTATTTGGGAGGCCAAGGCAAGTGACTGCCTGAGCCCACGAGTTTGAGACCAGCCCGGGCAACTTGGTGAGACCTCATCTCTACAATAAATCAAAAATTAGCCAGGCATGGTAGTGCACACCTGTAGTTCTAGCTACTTGGAAGGCTGAGGTGGAAGGATTGCCAGAGCCCACCAGGTTCATGCTGGGGTAGCCGTGAGCATGCCACTGAACTCCAGTCTGGGCAACCAAGTAAGATTCCCACTCAAAAAAAGATGGACTTTTAGGTTTCCACTTTGTAGCTATTATGAGTAATGCTGCTATGATCAATTGAGTTCATACTAATATTGTTCTTTTCTTTGCGTATACCAACAATTAGCATGAATTAATCAAGGAAAATTGTGAAATTAATTTGGGAATATACTGGAGCTTTTGATATGCTCGCTATAGTCATTCCTGACGTTGTGCCTTGATGTTGCTAGCTGTCAGCTTGTTTCATTTTTTTTTCTGAGTTGGAGTCTCATTGTTGTCACCGAGGCTGGAGTGCAGTGGTATGCTCATGGGCACTGTAGCTTCTGCCTGCTCAGGTGATCCTTTTGCCTCAGCCTTCCAAGTAGCTGTAACTAGAGATGCACGCCACCACACCAGGCTAGTTTTTGTGATTTATTATAGAGACGAGGTCTCATCAAGTTGCCCAGGTTGGTCTTGAATTCCCGGGTTCAGGCAATCCTCTTGCCTCAATCTCCCAAATTGCTGGGATTACAGGCTGAGCCACCGTGCCCAGCCCTGTCAGTTTATTAAGCTTTCCACATTATTAAGTTTTATGTGCATCATTTTAATAGCTGCATCTTATTCTAACCTATGGATATACTATGCTTTATTTAATTATTCTCTTATTGCTAGACATTTAGATTGCTTCCAATGCTTGCTATCATAAATAGCACTTTTTTTTTTTTTTTTTGAGTTGGAGTCTCAATTCGTCACCCAGATTGGAGTGCAGTGGCACCCCAGCACTGACCCGCTGGGCTCAGGCAATCCTTCCGCATCAGTGTTCCAAGTAGCAAACTACAGGCACATGCTACCATGCCTGGTTAATATTTTGATTAATTGTAGAGATGAGGTCTTGCCAAGTTGCCCAGGCTGTTCTTGAACCCGTGGGCTCAGGCAATCCTCTTGCCTCGGCTTCCCAAAGGGCTGGGATTACACGCTTGAATCACTGCACCTGGCCTATTTTTTTAAAGGCGTTTGATACATAGTTCCCAAGGTTTCCCAAAAGGACTTTTGGATTTACTCTCACCAGTATAATTTGAGGTGGATATCAGCTTCATTCCTTATAAGCATCTCAAGTTATCTGCTTAAATTGTTTTAAGATTCTTTACCTCAAGGTTACCGTGGAAAAGGGAGAACTGAAGGAAAAGAGAGAACTGAAGGGATAGCTAAAAGCTATATGCACATAAACAAGTCCAACTCCCAAGAAGTAATCTTATCACTTACTGGAAATGTGTAAAGCCTAACGTGGGTAGATTGGCTCGTTCTTTAGCAAAGTCAGCAAGCCGAGAGATCACTCTAGCAAGCTACAAGAAAGAACATATGACATAAAGAGGGTGAATTCAGGTTGTGTTCATTACATAATTAGGAACTAAATTTTTAGATAATTTTATATAAAATTAGACCTACAGATCATGAAAGGCTGCAGCCGTATCTTTTCATCTTTGTATCCCAAAGTGCCCTGAAGCATTTAGAGCAACCAACATTAGAAAACTGAGTTTGGGCCAGGCATGGTGGCTCAAGCCTGTAATCCCAGCACTCTGGGGGGCCGAGGTAAGTGGATTGTCTCAGCCCACGGGTTTTAGAACAGCCTGGGCAACTTGGTGAGACCTCATCTCCACAATAAGTCAAAAAATTAGCTGGGCATGGTAGTGCACACCTGTAGTTCCAGCTACTTGGAAGGCTGAGGTGGAATGAGCGCCTAAGCCCAGCAGGTTGACCCTGTAGTGGCCATGAGCATGCCATTGCACTCCAGACTAGACAACAAAGTGAGACTCCAACTCCAACTCCAACTCCAACTCCAAAAAAAAAGGCTGGGCTTGGTGGCTCAGCCTGTAATCCCAGTAATTTGGGAGGCTGAAGCAAGTGGACTGCCTGAACCCACGGGTTTGAGATCAGCCTGGGCAACTGCGCAAGACATTGTCTCTACAATAAATAAAAAATTAACCGGGTGTGACAGTACGCCTGTAGTTCTGGTTACTTGGAAGGCTGAGGCGGAAGGAAGGATCGCTGGAGCCCAGCAGGTCGATGCTGGGGTGGCTGTGAGCATGCCACTGCACTCCAGCCTAGGTGACGGAGTGAGACTCCAACTCAAAAAATAAAAAAAGAAAGAAAACCGAGCTGACAGCTGGGCATGGTGGTTCACACCTGTCATCCCAGCACTTTGGGAGGCTGAAGTGAGAGGATCGCCTGAGCCCAGCAGGTAAAGGCTGCAGTGGTCGTGAGCGTGCCACTGCACTCCACTCCAGCCTAGGTGACAGCGAGTCTCTGACTCAAAACAAACAAAAAACAAGAAAACTGAGTCGACTACCTAAAAAGTCACAATTTTAAGACTAATGCGGAAAAATAGGACAAAATCATAATTCTGATTCACATATTCCAGCAACGTGTCTCTGGCTGTACTTCCTTTATCTAAAAGGCTATGCTTTAAGAAACATTTAGTTAGAATGTTTTTTGCTTTTTTTTTTTTTTGAGTTGGAGTCTCACTCTGTCGCCCAGACTGGAGTGCAGTGGCTAACCCCGGCCACCGCAGCCTTGACCTGCTGGGCTCCGGCGATCCTTCCGCCTCAACCTTCCACGTAGCCGGAATTACAGGCATGCACTACCACGCCCGGCTGATTTTTTGATTGATTGTAGAGATGAGGTCTCGCTGCCCAGGCAGGTCTCGAACCTGCGGGCTCTGGCAATCCACTCACCTCAGCCTCCCAAAGGCACGGGATTACAGGCTGAGCCACCGAGCCCGGCTAGTTAGAATGTTTTAATGAAGAGACAGACAAAATACAGGGTCACTCATCTGTGACAGTGATAATCTATATAGATTTACACTGTGTTGATTTAGTTATAATTGGTGCCCATCTCCTTTCATAGGTAATCTAGGATTGGTAGGAAACGTCTGCCAACTCCTTACCTTTGGCAAAAGCAGGTCAAGTGCATTTCTAAGAATAATCAGGTCCTACAAAGAAAATACAAAGGTCTTATATTAAACTGCTTTGCTCAAACAATACTATGTAATACTTTTTGACCAACAAGTCTGAGTTGCTCAGCTAGTAGATTATATCATTTTTATGAATTCACTAGCATGCCAGAAAATGCTAACACAAGTTGTTCTTTTCCCTTTACTGTTTTATTATTTATTTTATGAGTTGGGAGTCTCACCACTCTGTCACCCAGGCTGGAGTGCAGTGGCATACTCATGGCCACCACTGCCTCTACCTGCTGGGTTCAGGTGATCCTTCAGACTCAGCCTTCCAAATAACTGGAACTACAGACACATGCCGCCATGCCTGGCTACTGATTACTGTTGAAAAGCATCCTAGGCTGGGCTCGGTGGCTCTGCCTGTAATCCCAGCACTCTGAAAGGCCGAGGAGAGTGGTTTGCCTGAGCCTGTGGGTGCGAGATCAACCCAGGCAACTTGGCGAGACCTTATCTCTACAATAAAAATAAAAAATTACCCAGGCATGGTAGCATACACCTGTAGTTCCAGCTACTTAGAAGGCTGAGGAGGAAGGATCACTGGAGCCCAGCAGGTCGATGCTGGGATGGCCATTAGTGTGCCACTGCACTCTAGCTTGGGGGACAGAGTAAGACTGCAATACAAAAATTAAATAAATAATAAATACATATAAACTTAGAGAGCAGTACTACTGGGATCTATAAGGAATAAAACCTTATATTCCTAAGTATATATCTAAAATGACTGGAAAATGTGCAAGTCAGCAAGGTTTTATATATTCCCAGAGAGGAGTGCCGCCTGAGTCTCAGAAAAGCTTCCATACGGCACATTCCATTAGCTTCCTCCTTTTTTCTTTCTTGCTTGCCTATAGTTGCTATAAAAGGCATGACTCAGAGCATCAAGGCTTGGGAAACTTAAAGGTGTACCTGAGCAATAAAAAAAAGTATATATTTCAGGCAACACCAACACATGCTTATAGGAAACAGTATACCCAAGTACACATTGGGTACTTTTATATATTTTTTTGAGTTATAATACATTTTAGTGAACATTGACAGCAAAAAAACCCAAAAAAACCCATAAAAACATTCTGAATTTGATACTCCTTAGGAAACATATTTTATTAAGGCTTTTATATCAGCTGGACATAGAGTAAGCATCCTCTATAAAATTTCAAGTACAAATTTTATTTTCCACCAGCAAATGAAGTAAAACTTTTATCTATCTATCTATTTATTTTATTTATTTATTTTTTATTTTTTTGAGTTGGAGTCTCACTCTGTCGCCCAGACTGGAGTGTAGTGGCCGCTCCTGGCCACCGCAGCCACGACCTGCTGGGGTCCGGCGATCCTTCCGCCTCAGCCTTCCGAGTAGCCGGAATTACAGGCATGCGCTACCATGCCTGGCTGATTTTTTTATTTATTGTAGAGATGAGGTCTTGCCAAGTTGCCCAGGCGGGTCTCGAACCCGCAGGCTCAGGCATATTTATTTATTTTTGAGTTGGATTCTCACTCCTTCACCCAGGGTGGGGTGCAGTGGTACACACGCTCATGGCCACCCTAGCGTTGACCTTCTGGGCTCCAGCGATCCTTCCAACTCAGTCTTCCAAGCAGCCAGAACTACAGATGCATGCTACCATGTCCGGCTATTTTTAATTTTATTGTAGAGACGAGGCCTCGCCAAGTTGCCTGGGCTGGTCATGAACCTGCGGGGTCAGGCAATCCACTCGCCTTGGCCTCCCAAAGTGCTGGGATTACAGACTGAGGCACTAAGCTGGGCTGAAGTAAAACTTTAAAAGGGTATCTGTAAGTTGAGTTTCAAAGGTCTGAAAAGCTAGGATAATATGAGAACTATTAAAGGTACTGGGAGAAAAAAACAGTTCTCCCTTCTACCTTCCTGCTGGCTACTGTCACAGAATGATCTTTTCCTTGAGTGCCAAAGTCCTTGAAAACATATTCTTTCCTCCTCCCATTACCCACTACAACTTGGCATTTGCCCTCACATTCCAATGAAGTCACTTCAGTGGGAACATTAGTAACCTCCTACTTGTCAAATTTAATGGACATTTAAGAAATCCTCCTAGTCAGTAGCGGTGGCTCACACCTATAATCCCAGCAATTTGGGAGATGGACTACCTGAGCCCACAGGTTCAAGAATAGCCTGGGCAACTTGGCGAGACCTCAATTTTACAATAAATCAAATTAAAAAATCAGTAGGCATGGTGGCACACATCTGTGGTTCCAACTACTTGGAAGGCTGAGGCAGAAGGATCACCTGAGCCTAACAGGTCGAGGCTATGGTGGCCGTGACCATGCCACTGCACTCTAGCCTGGGCGACAGAGTGAGATTCCAACTCAAAAAAAAAAAAAAAAGACTAAAAACAGTATTTGGGACAACCTAAAAAATTTATGGGTTATTCCTGAATTGAAAGTTTATCTGGAATCTAACTTCTGGTCAGACGTCTATAATGTGATTACGAGCACAAGTTGTGGAGTCAAACTGCCAGGGTTTGTATCCTTTCTAGCTGTGTAATCTTGAGCCAGTTCTTTTTTTTTTTTTTTTGAGTCGGAGTCTCACTCTGTCGCCCAGACTGGAGTGCAGGGGCCGCTACCAGCCACCGCAGCCTCGACCTGCTGGGCTCCGGCGATCCTTCCGCCTCAGCCTTCCAAGTAGCTGGAACTATAGGCGCGTGCTACCACACCCAGCTAATTTTTGATTTATTGTAGAGATGAGGTCTTGTCAAGTTGCCCAGGCGGGTCTCGAACCCACGGACTCAGGCAATTCACTCACCTCGGCCTCCCAAAGTGCTGGGATTAAAGGCTGAGCCACCGAGCCTGGCCGGGCCAGTTCTTTTACCACTCTTTAAGTTTCCTCATCTGTAAAAATAAGAATAACAGAGTTATGCCAGGCTTGGTGGCTCAGCCTGTAATCCCGTGCTATATGAGGCCAAGGTGAGTGAATTGCTTGAGCCTGCGGGTTCGAGACCTACCTGGGCAACTTGGTGAGACCTCATCTCTACAATTAAAAAAAAAAATCAGCCGGGCATGGTAGCATGCGCCTGTAGTTCCAGCTACTTGGAAGGCTGAGGCGGAAGGATCACTGGAGCCCAGCAGATCAAGGCTGCGGTGACTGGGAGTGTGCCACTGCACTCCAGTCTGGGCGACAGAGTGAGACTCCAACTCAAAAAAAAAAAAAGAACTCAAAAAGCCAGGCAAGGTGGCTCATGTCTGTAATTCCAGCACTTTGGGAGGCTGAGGTGAGACGATTGCCTGAGTCCAGGGGTTCGAGACCAGTCTGACCAACTTGATGAGACTTCATCTCTACAATAAACCACCCCCTGCCCCAAAAAACCCCGGGTGTGGTGGTACACGCCTGTAGTCCCAGCTACTTGGAAGGCTGAGGCTGAAGGATCGCCTGAGCCTAGCAAGTTGAGGCTGCGGTGGCCGTGAGGGTGCCACTGTAGTCCAGTCTGGGTGACAGAGTAAGACTCCAACTACAAAAAAACAAAATAAAACTCAAAGCGTTCAAAAATGGAGATGATCCCTTATGGTTGTAAAGAATGACTAAATAAAGTAATACATATAAAGTGCTCAGAAGAGTACCACTTAGTAACTCCCAGGAAAATATTTGCTGTTATTTTTCTATTTGACCATAAGATGCTTGCTAACTAAGGATTTCATTTAACAATTATAATGAGCCAGGTGCAGCAACTTATAGCCATAATCCCAGTGTTTTGGGAGGCCAAGATGGGAAAACTGCTTGAGGCCAAAAGTTCAAGAGCAGTCTGGGCAATATATGGAGATCCTGTCTCTATAAAAAATTATTCAGGCATGGAGGCACATGCTTTTAGTCCCTGCTACTTGGGAAGCTGAGGTGGGAGGATTGCCAGAAGTTCGAAGCTGCAGTAAGTTATGATACCATTGCATTCCAGCATGGGCAACAGAGTGAGACTCTGTCTCAAAATAGAAAAAAGAAAAGAAAACATATATACACAATTATAATGCAATCCCCTTTCTTTTCAAAAGCCACAGCAGAGTTGTAAAAGATTTTGGAAAAAAAGGTCCTTTGGAAAATTTCCCCAGCCGCTAAAATGCTAAGGCCTTTACTTATGCTCAGCATACCAATGCATAAACTCTCTAGCCCATTAGCCTGGTTAAAATAAGGACTTATTTTATGGAGGTCACTAGGTGCTTATAGCTTAAACCAGAAGGATTCTAAAAGCAGAAGATTCCTGAGCATTTTCAGCCAAGATACCCCTAAAAATAAAGATGTATGAAGTCACTTCCTAAAATGAACATCAAATACAATTGATAAATGCATTATAGAAACTGAGTCCTAAGTATAAACAACACAGGCTCCTACTGTATTGTCTCCAACATAGCAGGAGGTGGCACCAAGATGAATAATGCCTGCAGCTTTTGGACAGCAGTGGCCAAACGTGTGCACATGAGCCATCACATCATGTAGTAATTGTTTCTCTTCTTCAGCTGCCATCTTGAAGTCGATGTTGTCCAGGTTTGATTTCATTTCCTGGATTTGTTCATCTGTGATAGGCAAACCCAATGTCTGCAGAATAGGCAAATAAAATAATCCCAGTGTTACAATCATGTGAATTGAAATAACAGAAGAATTTATAAAATTTGGGGCAACCAAGCTAAAAGTGCATGGAGCAGAGAGAGGAAGGAGATGCAAGGAGACATTCACAATGAATCATGGTAAATTATATTCTAAGAAAACTTTAGTATAAAAAAATAATATAATCCTGTTCTTTACTGCTCCCTCTGCCCCATACCTCTGCTTGGCTCACTCCCCAACGTGTTCTGGTATTTGGGCTCAAATGTCATCTTCTCAGAAAGGTCTTCCCTGACTTCAATGTAAAACACCCATTTGTGTGTCACTCTCTAGCCCCTTAGCCAGGTTTTATTTAGAGCACTTACCATTATTTTAAATATTTATTAGACTGTCATTTCCCTCTAGAATGTATACTCCATGTGAGTTTTATTTATTGCTTAATCCTTAGTGCTTGGCATGCAGGTTCCAAAGTGTGGCACCTTTACATTTTATTCAGATGGATTTACTTGGAGAAACAAAAATTAAGACTTCTGGGCTGGGCTTAGTGGCTCAGCCTGTAATTCCAGCACTTTGGGAGGCCGAGGTGAGTGGACTGCCTGAGCCCATGGGTTCAAGACCAGTATGGGCAACTTGGCGAGACCTCATCTCTACAATAAATCAAAAATTAGCCGGACGTGGTAGCGCGTGCCTGTAGTTCCAGCTACTTGGAAGACCGAGGTGGAAGGATCGCCAGCGCCCAGTAGGTCGAGGCTGCGGTGACTGGGAGTGTGCCACTGCAATCCAGTCTGGGTGACAGAGTAAGACTCCAACTCAAAAAACAAAAAAAAGAAAAAAAAAAAGAATTCTGTAAGTAGTTTTGCCAGCAAATTCAATACAAGTGAAACCAATTCCAAGAGATACTGATGAGAAAATAAACATATCAACATCTTACATTTATCCATCACTGTTAAAATTAGGCTGGCAAAAAATAGCTGCCAGCCCACAGGCAGCTCAGAATTCTGGAACCAAGGACTGAACATATACAGTGGTGAAACTGATTCAAACCTCACCTGAAACCTGCAAGCCCTGACTTTGGACAGGATCTTGAATCTTAGATGTACTGTCCAGATAGCTGCTACTAGCCAGATATGGCTATATACATTAACATTAATTTTTTTTTTTTTTGAGTTGGAGTCTCACTCTGTCACCCAGACTGGAGTGTAGTGACATGCACGGTCACCGCAGCCTCCACCTGCTGGGTTCTGACAATCCTTCTGCCTCAGTCTTCTAAGTAGCTGGAATTATAGGCACGTGCCATCAAGCCTGGCTAATTTTTTGATTTATTGTAGAGATGAGGCCTTGCCATATTGCCTAGGCTGGTCTCGAATCTGTGGGCTCACAATCCTCTCACCTCAGCTTCCCAAAGTGCTGGGATTATAGGCATGAACCACCGCTCTCGGTCTTTTTTTTTCCCTGAGCCCAGCAGGTTGAGGCTGTGGTGGCTGTGCATGTCACTAGTCTAGTCTAGTCTGGGTGCCCTCTAGTCTGGGTGACAGAGTGCCCTCTAGTCTGGGTGACAGAGTGAGATTCCAACTCAAAAAAAAAAAAAGCAAAAACTTAAGTTTCTCAGTCACCCTGGCCACAGTCACCCTGGCCACACCCTGGCCTCAGTCACTCTGGGTGACAGAGTGAGATTCCAACTCAAAAAAAAAAAAACAAAAACTTAAGTTTCTCAGTCACCCTGGCCACATTCCAGTAGTCACATGTGGCAGAACTACCCAGAACCTCTGCAGTCATAGTAGATATGACACCTCAGGGCTCCTTCCAAAGCAAAACAGCAGAGGGAAGCCAGGCCATACTGCTTCCTCCTCACAAGCAATTTATCTTCTCAACTATCATACTTTGCCTACCGATAGATCTCTGCATTCCTCTTAATCTATCAACCTTCAAGTTTTCTTTTCCTCAACTACTAAATTATGTAATTTATGCTAATTTTGACACCCCAGTAAATAATCCAAACCCCAAATCATATGTACTTCAGGCAATGTGTAGACCAAACACAGGAAAGGATAAATATTCAGACTCTACATTCCAATTCCAGCTTGAAGCCATTTACTAGCTATCGTGACTCTGGTCAAGTCTTTCTGAGTGCCACCCTCATTTTTGGAATGGAGGAACATCAAATGAAATAGAATAGAGTATATACTAGTCATCACAAACCACATGATTAAGGTTTACTACTGATATCTGAGCCAATCGTTTAGTAAATCGTTCTATGCCTCCGTTTTCTTGTCTCTAAAATAGGCACAATAATAGTACTTTACTTACTCTACAGAGTTGTTTGGAGGATTAATGAGCAATTATACATAAAGTCTTAAAACAGTGCCTGGCACTCAGAAGGCACTATATAAATATCTGCTATCAATATTGGGAGGCTGAGGTGAGTGGATTGCCTGAGCCCACGGGTTCGAGAACCGCCTGGGTAGGCGAGACCTCATCTCTACAATAAAATCAAAAAATTAGCCGGGCGTGGTAGTGTGCATCTGTAATTCCGGCTACTCGGAAGGCTGAGGTGGAAGGATCGCCAGAGCCCAGCAGGTCGAGGCTGCGGTGGCCGGAAGCGGCCACTGCACTCCAGTCTCGGCGACAGAGTGAGACTCCAACTCAAAAAAAAAGAAATACAGTATCGCTCAAATTTTTGGAGCACAATGATGGGGGTTGAGTAGGAAATCCTGGAGATCCACATGACGGTCCATGTACTCAGACTGCTTCCGTGTTTCCTATGCTGCTTGAGAAGGCACTGCAAACTTGCTTGCTGTGGCCCTTTCCTCTGAAACTTGAGAAGGAACATTATATTATAGCTCCCTGGATCACCTTCAGTTTCTTTCAACTCCTTTAGAAGGCCCCTGTGGAGCTATTTCTGTAACCATTGGGTTAAGTCGCTCTATATGCAGCTCTTAGAAACCAGAAATCCCTAATAAATAAACCCATACCCGGATTTTCCCTCCTCAGAGGCAAAGAGCAGCCAAGAAGTGACCTAGGAAACGCGCTTTCTATTCATGTCACTCACTCACTACACAGGCACTGTGGAAAACGAGTTGGCTAAGCTCAGCTCAGGCTCTGCACTGAACCCAGGTTCAAATCCCAGGGTGTGGGCTGGGGCAAACAAGCTCTCCAGACTTGGTGTTCTTCCCTGAGATAGGGAAAGGACACCCTCAAGTTTGCAAGGCCTTCATGGATTAAACGAGAAAAAAATGAATCGATACAAAGACACAGAACAAAAGTTCAGTGTCTGTGGTCAGCAGCGCACTCCTTCACGAATGGCCAAGATGAATACCCTGAAACGACAGACTGCATTTCTCGCAGCCTCCGCCGCGTCCCAAAACCTTTGGGACTAAAAAACATGTGAGGCAACAGGTGGCAGCTCCTCAGGAAAGGGAACACCCGGCCGAAAATAGCCAGGACGCTGCGGCCGGGCGGCAAAGCCCAGCCCAGGGCAGAGCCTGGCACGTGCTGGGGCCGGCCCGCCTCTCCTGGCCCGGCCCCTCAGCCCCGGGGCCCATTACCTGCTCGGCCTCCGCCAGCCAAAGCCACAGCTGCCGCCATGTCCGGAATTTGTACCTGTCGCTAAACACGAAACACATCTCCTGGCTGGCGTAGCGGGAAGCAAGCGGTGAGCGGTAGCTGTTGGGCCCACCACTGTCTAACCCAGCCGCCATCCTAACCGCGCGACCCGGTCGGAGCGCACACAACTAGCTAGAGCGGAAGCGGAAACCTGCAGGCCGGGACGGGGCGGGACTTCCTCCACGTGGTCCCGCCCCCTGGGGTTCCGGGCCTGAAGGGTGCGGTGGATTTCGGCTGCTGTCTGTTGAGGGTTGACGCGTTTTGATTGGTTTGTTAGAAACGTGATTAGTGCTTCATAAATCACTTAGCCGCTCTGCGCCTTAGTTTTGGCATCTGAAAAAAGGTACATTAAGGCCTGTCTTTAGGGTTGTGCGGATTCGGTATTAGAGCGATGTCTGGCACATCAGGAAGGCTCTGGCCATTGTTTTGTTAAGCACTGGCCAGGTCTTGTGCTCTTTGGGCTATGGCCACCGTGTTTGGCCCCCTCCCCTACCTTGGGGAAGTGAATCTCCTCTCTCTCTAGTTTGCTTTCTAAATAAACTATATTTTCCAATCTGACGAGAGGATTGTCTAAACCCTAGGGTTCGAGACCAGCCTGGGGAACTTGGCGACATCTCGTCTCTAGAATAATTCAAAAAATTAGCCGGGTGTGGTGGCGCATGCCTGTAGTTCCCGCTATTGGGAAGGCTGAGACAGAAGGATCGCCTGAGCCCAGCAGGTCGAGGCTGCGGTGGCCATGAGTGTATCACTGCACTCCAGCTTGGGCGACAGAGTGAGACTCTGATTCCGTATGTATTTGCTGTTATTATTTAATTACTGCTGTCGCCTACTCCGACAACTCCTACTGCCCGAGAATACATGCAGATGTCCACGGGAAATCGTCAGTTACTGCATACTAAGTGAGCCCCTTGCGCCAAACTGCGGTAAAATAGATTTAAGCAGTGCTTACCGGAACTGAGAATCATAGAAGCTGAGTGACTTGCTGAGGGTCACCCAGCTAGCTAGTTAAGTGGAGTTGGGCTCAAGACCCAGATCTGTCCCACATCAAAATCTGCACTCACATGCCATGACTCTCCAAGCCCCCTCCTCAAAATACTCCTCCCCCCACTCCTGCCCAGAACACCTCTTTCCTCACTACCTTTTACTTAATACCCAGTCTAGAACACGATCCCTGATGGTCCCAAACTCTCCTCTTTTGGGCGGGTAATAATCAAACCACAAACATTTATTAAGGTTTTATTAGGTATCAGGCACTGTCCTAAGCACTTTACACAGGTGATCTCATTTAATCCTTGTGACAATCCTGAGTTGTTTGGGTATTATTTAGTTGTCTTTTATTTTTATCTTTTTGAGGTGGAGTCTCACTCTGTCACTCAGGCTGGTGTCAGTGGCACACTCAAGGCCACCCCAGCATCGATCTGCTGGGCTCCAGTGATCCTTTCGCCTCAGCCTTCCAAGTAGCTGGAACTACAGGCGTACACTACCACGCCCAGCTAATTTTTATTTAGTGTAGAGACGAGATCTTGTCAAGTTACCCAGGCTGGTCTTGAGCCCGCGGGCTCAGGCAATCCACTCCCTCAGACTCCCAAAGTGCTGAGATTACAGGCTGAGTCACCGAGCCTGGCCTGTTTGGGTATTATTATTATTATTATTTTGAGTTGGAGTCTCACTCTGTCACCCAGAGTGGAGTGCAGTGGCACGCTCCCGGCCACTGCAGCCTCGACCTGCTGGGCTCGGGCTATCCTTCCGCCTCAGCCTTCTGAGTAGCCGGAATTACAGGCACGCGCTGCCATGCCCGGCTGATTTTTTTGATTTATTGTAGAGATGAGGTTTCGCCAAGTTACCCAGGCGAGTCTCGAACCCGTGGGCTCAGGCAATCCACTCACCTCAGCCTCCCAAAGTGCGGGATTACAGGCTGAGCCACCGAGCCCAGCTCACTTTGCTCTTAACAGCTCCAAATGTACTTCTTCCTGAATGCTGCAGTAGCAGGTACAATGTTGCTTTGAAATGACCTTTTATAAGCTCCTCACTAAAATAAGACCTTATTTGTAATAGTCATGTTGGAAAATAAGAGCAGCAAATTTATCATAGTATAAAAGAATGACAGCCTGGGAAGCACTCTGCAAAGAGTGGGGAGTTACAGGCAGCAAAATTTTCATCTTTCTAGAATTGTGGTTGTCCTCTGCTTACATTCCACTTTGAATTTCCAGCTTGTTTGCTGAGAATGAACTTCCCTTTTCTAATAACCATAATATATTCTAAGTATTAAAATTTACTGACTAGCTGGGTGCAGTGGCTCTCATTTGTAATTCCAGCACTTTGGGAGGCGGAGGCAAGGGGATTGCCTGAGTTCCAGGGGTTTGAGACCAGCCCAGGCAATTTGGCGAGCCCTCGCCTCTACATCAAAAAATTAGCTGGGTGTGATGGTGTGCGCCTGTTGTTCCAGTAGGTTGAAGCTGCAGTGGCCATGAGTGTGCCACTGCACTCCAGCCTGGGTGACAGAGTGAGACTGACAAAAAAAAAAATTACTGACTAGTTATGAATCTCTTATTTGACGGTCACAGAGTCACACAAAAACCCATGGACTGCCCTTGTAAGTGTTCTCCTTCCCCACTGCTGGGCTTTCTTAGACGCTGAGTAACCTTCTGCCTCTTATAGACCTCTTTCAAAACAATTTTTTTTTTGAGTCAGAGTCTCACTCTGCTCAGGCAATCCTCTTGCTTCCACCTCCCAGAGTGCTGGGATTACAGGCGTGAGCTATCACATCTGGCTTCAAAACTCTTTTTTTTTTGAGCTGGAGTCTCACTGTCGCCCAGACTGGAGTGCAGTGGCCGCTCCCGGCCACCGCAGCCTTGACCTGCCGGGCTCCGGCGATCCTTCTGCCTCAGCCTTCCAAGTAGCCAGAATTACAGGCGCACGCTACCACACCCGGCTGATTTTTTGATTTACTGTAGAGATGAGGTCTTGCTGCCCAGGCGGGTCTGGAACCCGTGGGCTCAGGCAATCCACTCCCCTCAGGCTCCCAAAGGTGCGGGATTACAGGCTGAGCGTAGAGATGAGGTCTTGCCAAGTTGCCTGGGCGGGTCCCGAACCCGCAGGGTCAGGCAATTCACTCACCTCGGCCTCCCAAAGCGCAGGATACAGGCTGAGCCACCGAGCCCAGCAGCTTCAAAACTCTTAATGGAATTCAGTGTTGCTTGATGGCAAACTCAGTGGTAGCAGAGATAATGTCTGTGCCTCTGACACCTAAGACTGAAACTGCCATAGTATAGGTGCTCAGTAAATGTGTGCAGGATGAATAAATACTGCCTCAGAGGAACCTAGCCCGACAAGAGAAGTAAAGCCCACAGTAGCTATCATACAAGTTAGCTTCTGACCTATACTTTCTCTTTTCCAACCTCTCTGACACCTCTTCAATATCCTCATTCCTTGGCTCCTTCATGTCTCCACCATGTCTCCAGGATTCCTGTAGTCAGAAGTGACTGCAGGCCGGGCATAGTGGCTCACGCCTGCTATAAGGCAGAGGCAAGAGGATTGCTTGAGCCCAGGAGTTTGAGACAAGCCTAGGCAACATAGCGAGACCTCATCTTTACAAAAAAATTTAAAAATTAGCCAGGCGTCAGGATGTGCTCCTATAGTCCCACCTACTCAGGAAGCTGAGGTGGGAAGATCACCTGAGCCCAGCAGGTCGAGGCTGCGGTGAGCTGTGATCGTGCCACTGCGCTCCAGTCTGGGCAACAGAGACCCCCAACTCAAAAAAAAAAAAAAAAGCCAGACTCGGTGGCTCAGCCTGTAATCCCAGCACTTGGGAGGCCGAGACTAGTGGATTGCCTGAGCCCGTGGGTTCAAGACCAGTCCGGGTAACTTGGCGAGACCTCGTCTCTACAATAAATCAAAAATTAGCCAGGCGTGGTAGTGCGCACCCAAAGTTCCAGCCACTTGGAAGGCTGAGGCGGAAGGATCGCAGGAGCCCAACAGGGCGAGGCTGCGGTGGCCGGGAGCGTGCCACTTGTACTCCAGTCTGGGTGACGAAGTAAGACTCCAACTTAAAAAAAAAAATTTAAGAATTGACTATAGTACCAGTTCCAGAATACCTAGGCCATTAAAGAAGCCCATCATTTATCTGTGCTCATCACTAAGATTTTCTTCCACCTCCTCTCGAGTTGCAGAAGACTTGTTTAGGGGATGAGGACAGACACAATTCTAGGAAGTTTAAAAATGTGCTTTCTGTACTCCCCATTCCTTGCAGAGTACTTCCCAGGCTGGCCTTTGCTACACTGTAAGCTTATTGTGCTCCTTCTCCTTTTCCATCAGTCTTCCACCCTTTCTCCTGCTCTGCTTCACTTGCTGTTACTTTTCCTCTCAAATTAGGAGTTTTGGCTGGGCGCAGTGCCTCTAGGCTTGTAATCCCAGTGCTTTGGGAGAGGAAGGCAGGAAGATCGCTTGAGCCCAGGTTACAGCGGGTTATGATCACACTACTGCTTTCCAGCAAGACCTTTTCTCTAAAAAACAAGTTTCAGGGCAACCCCTTCAGGTCACCTCCCACTGTGGGAGCTTTTCTGTCCTCTCAATAAATCCTGCTTTCAAAAAAAAAAGTTTCTACCTTTAGTTTTCTTCTTTGTCAGGAAAACAAGAAAAGATGTACTAAATTATTTTGTATTGACTCTTTAATCTCTAGATCTGCTGCCCTTCGTTTTTTTAAGTCAGAGTCTCACTCTGTCACCCAGTCTGGAGGGCAGTGGCACGCTCCCGGCCACCACAGCCTCAACCTGCTGGGCTCAGGCGATCCTTCTGTCTCAGCCTTCCAAGTAGCTGGAACTACAGGTGTGCGCTACCACACCTGGCTAGTTTTTGACTTATTGTAGAGACAAGGTCTCGCCAAGTTGCCTGGGCGGGTCTTGAACCCGCGGGCTCAGTCAATCCTCTCGCCTTGGCCTCCCAAAGTGTGGGATTACAGGCTGAGCCACTAAGCCAGGCCTTTTTTTTTTTCAAAGCAGGATTTATTGAGAGGACAGAAAAGTTCCTACAGTGGGAGGAGACCCAAAGGGGTTGCCTAATTTTTTTTTTCTAATGCAAAAGTCTTTCACTATAGAAACATCATACTTGCCCTGGTATTTACTTAACATGAAGTTCTTTTTCTGACTGCCTCTCCA